ATGACTGTGACAATGATGATGACGATAACGATGACGATGACGATGATGATGATGATGATGGTGATGATGATGATGGTAATCTGATGAGCTTGGTTTGAATGGTGATGATGATGGCGACGATTACGATCGATGGTGTTAATCGTGCTGGCGATGGCGATGGTGAGGAGGATCATGATAATGTTGTTGATTATGGTGTGCATGACTTGATGATGGTGCTAGTTATGCTGGTGATGCTGACGCCTGTGGTGATCATGGTCATGATTACGACGACGATGATGTTGATCCTCGTGGTACTTATGATGTTGTTGGTGAGTATGGTGTTCAATGCGATGATGGCATTCGTCGGCCACATGTACAAACATTCGCACGCACGAACAAGTCGAGGAACCTTCTTGCAACACGAGTACGTCATATAACCATGTCATTGGGACATACACGCACACACTTGTACATGAACACCACCATTTCATTGCCGCATACACAAACTTGCACTTCATCACCACCACTTCATTGCCACATACATACAGTCACTTGTACATCACCACGACCACAGCACAGCCACACTTCATTTTCTCTTCGTCCTATGACTCCTCCCCCACCAGGCTGAGGGCCAGCGGACCCGCCTCCAGGCCGTGGGGCTGTCGGACCAGCTTCCAAGCCCGACGCGTCCGCTGCCCACATGTCTTTTGCACAGCTGGCAAGTTGTGCAAAACACATGTGAGCTGTTTTTGGACACCATCGGGAAAGTCCCGGCCTGGAGGCCAGTCCGTTTGCACCGGCACCGGCCTTGAGGCCAGTCCGTTGTTTAGTAGTAGTAGTAGTAGTAGTAGTAGTAGTAGTAGTAGTAGTAGTAGTAGTAGTAGTAGTAGTAGTAGTAGTAGTAGTAGTAGTAGTAGTAGTAGTAGTAGTAGTAGTAGTAGTAGTAGTAGTAGTAGTAGTAGTAGTAGTAGTAGTAGTAGTAGTAGTAGTAGTAGTAGTAGTAGTAGTAGTAGTAGTAGTAGTAGTAGTAGTAGTAGTAGTAGTAGTAGTAGTAGTAGTAGTAGTAGTAGTAGTAGTAGTAGTAGTCGTAGTTAGTACGTATCGTATATTCGTAAGTAGTAGTAGTAGTAGTAGTAGTAGTAGTAGTAGTAGTAGTAGTAGTAGTAGTAGTAGTAGTAGTAGTAGTAGTAGTAGTAGTAGTAGTAGTAGTAGTAGTAGTAGTAGTAGTAGTAGTAGTAGTAGTAGTAGTAGTAGTAGTAGTAGTAGTAGTAGTAGTAGTAGTAGTAGTAGTAGTAGTAGTAGTAGTAAGTAGTAGTAGTAGTAGTCGTCGTAGTAGTAGTAGTAGTAGTAGTAGTAGTAGTAGTAGTATAGTCGTAGTAGTAGTAGTAGTAGTAGTAGTAGTAGTAGTAGTAGTAGTAGTAGTAGTAGTAGTAGTAGTAGTAGTAGTAGTAGTAGTAGTAGTAGTAGTAGCAGCGTAGTAGCAGTAGTAGTAGTAGTAGTAGTAGTAGTAGTAGTAGTAGTAAGTAGTAGTAGTAGTAGTAGTAGTAGTAGTAGTAGTAGTAGTAGTAGTAGTAGTAGTAGTAGTAGTAGTAGTAGTAGTAGTAGTAGTAGTAGTAGTCGTAGTCGTCGTAGTCGTAGTAGTAGTCGTAGTCGTAGTCGTAGTCGTAGTCGTAGTCGTAGTCGTAGTCGTAGTCGTAGTAGTAGTAGTAGTAGTAGTAGTAGTAGTAGTAGTAGTAGTAGTAGTAGTAGTAGTAGTAGTAGTAGTCGCAGTCGTAGTAGTCGTACTACTACTACTACTACTACTACTACTACTACTGCTACTGCTACTGCTACTACTACTACTAGTACTGGAGCCACTACTACCACTGCTACTACAATTGCTATTATCCTTTTTGTTGTTACTACTACGACGACGGCGATTGTTACGGGTACCGAAACGACTTTGATATTACGGTTTGTATTGTTAGTAGTAGTTATACGACTAAGCGTACTAATTCTACTACTACTACTACTACTACTAATGCGACTAGTACGACGTTTACGATTACTATTATCAGTTCGATTATTACGACACTATTACTACTACTACTACTACCACTACTACTACTACTACTACTACTACTACTACTACTACTATTACTACTACTACTACTACTACTTCTACTACTACTACTACTACTATTTCTACGAGTACCACCACAACGGCTTTTATTATTACTCCTACTGCTACTACTGATATAACTATTACTACTACTACTACTGTTGCTACTACTACTACTACTACTACTACTACTACTACTACGACTATCACGATTATTATTCTTGTTATTATCGCTGGAACTATTACGACACTCTCGGTGAGTAGGATCACGTTGCCCGATCGGGAAACAACACACTTTCGTAGCAAAACAAACACTTTCGCGTAGCAGAAGCACACATTCGCAAAAGAAAAACACATTTCCGCTTAGAAAACCATGCTGCCGCTCAGCAACACAATCTTTCCTATCAGGGAAACCACGCCGTCGTTCAGGGAAGCCACGCGTTCCCTTCGGAAAAGCACACTTTCGTTTATAACAACCAGACGTTCGCGAAGGAAAACCATAGTTGTCGGAGTGGCGTCTTGAATCCTGTGTAGGAGAAGCGCCATGCTTGTGAGGAGAAATGAGGTTGTGGCGGCCCAGGAACGCTGGGGCTTCCGTAAGGGAGGCCACGGGGATTGGCAGGGAGACGTTTTCACCGCGTCGGCGTTTGCAAGGGTTTCGGCTCCGGCGTCTTGAATCCCGTACCCGCATATTTTATTACGGAAAGTCTTGGGTCTCAGAATTATAGTTTTGGCCACCGGTTTACAACAACAACGGCTCCCGCTTGATTCTTCCTCACAATGTATTGATAAATCGCGCTCTCGCGCGGGACGTCCTCACAAATTATTGAGGATTCGCGCTTTCGCTTGGGATTGTCTTGCAATTTATTCAGACGCCGCGCCCTTGACACCCAGGAGTCACGCTCTCACTCTGGCCTATCTCACGATTTTCTTGGGAATCGTGGTGTCGCTCGAACTCTCCTCGCGATTCGTGCAGTATTCACGCTTCAGCCACATGCCTTCTCGACCTGGCCGTTTGGGCCCGCCTTCCAGACCCGCCCGTCAGGGTCTACCCGCCCGATCTACCCGTCAGGTTCTGACACGTGCTTTCTGCTCCTAGCCCCCCTCCTGCTATTTCCGTGTTCCATCCTTCTCCTTCCGCCTTCCATCCGTTTTCTTTTTTCCTGCCTCAAGGGCGGCATCGATTACACGCGGCAGGCATGGAAACTATACCCCGAATGGGGTACGGGTGGAGACGAAAAGGGCGGGTACCGAGGGTTTGGGATATACGTGTTGAATGGTACGCGAGCGAGTAAGAGCGAACAGTCTTATAATGATTTTTGCTGTTTCTGTGAATTCTCATTTTTGAATGATATTTATTGTTGACCCCCCCTCTGGTAACATATGTGGTTTTGAATCGAAGTGCCCCTCCTGGGGCTCGCACCCTGTTTTGATTAAGGGAAGTCTTGGTGCTCAAACTGCGCCCCTGGCCCCCGAACTAAAACAACAACAGCAACAACAACAATAACAACAACAACACCAACAACAACAATACTAACAACAACAACAACAACAACAACGGTTCCCGCCGGATTCTTCCTCATGCTTAATTCCCAAGTCGTGCTCTCGCGCGGGACTGCCTCACAATGTATGCAGAAATCGCGCTGTCGCTTTAGACCTCCTCGCAATTTATTCAGGCGTCGCGCTTCCAACCCGTAGCAATCACGCTGTCGTTCAGGCCTTTCTAGCGATCTCTTGGGCAACGTGCTATAGCTCGAGATTTCCTCGCGATTCGTATTCACGCTTCGGCAGTCTGGCTGCTCGACCTGGCCGCCTGGGCCCGCTTTCGCGCCCCGCCTGTTAGAGTCTACCCGCCTGATCAGCCCGTCCGGTTCTGCCCAGATGGTTTCTGCTCCTAGCCCCCCTCCTGCTACTCTCTCTCTCGTGTTCCATGCTTCTCCCTCCCTCTTCCATCCGTCCTCTCTTCCCCTGTTTGAAGGGTTGCGCCAACTACACGCCGCATGCAGGGAAAATAGATCCCCAAGGGGGGTATGATCGAAGACGAAACGGGCGGGTACCGAGCGTTTGGGATACACGCGTTGAATGGCATGCGAACAGGCATTTTAATAACAAATACAGTACTCGAACTTTTGTACCGATTATTGCTGACCCTCCGGTGACCATTGTGTTTTGGAATTAAAATTCTCCTCTCAGGGCTCGCACCCTGTGTTTGTACCAGAAAGTTTGTGGTCACCAACCTGCGCCCCTGGCCCACGATTTACTACAACAACGGCGCCCGCCTGAGACTTCTCACAGGTCATTTCAACATCCCGACATCCTGCTCTCGCGCGGGACGTCCTCACAATTTGTGTACGAATCGCGTTCTCGCGTGGGACGCGCTCGCAATTTATTCGAACGCCGCGCCCTCGACGCTCAGGAGTCTCGTTCTCGCTCTGGTTGTTCTCGCGATTTACTCTGGGAATCGTGCTATCGCTCGAGACCTCCTCGCGATTCATGAAAGGCGCGCGCTTCAGCAACCCGCCTGCTCCACCTGGCCGCTTGGGCCCGCCTCCCCGCCCCGCCCGTTAGGGTCTATCCGCCCGATCAGCCCGTCTAGTCATGCCACGTGTAATCTCCTCCTGGCCCCCTCCTGCTAATCTCTCTCGTGCTCCGTCCCTTTCCCTCCTCCTTCCGCCCGTCCTCTCTTCCTTTGTTTTAGGGGCTGCACGAAATTCACGTGGCAGGTAAGGAAGATATCCCCCCCGAGGGGGTACGATCGAAGACGAAGAGGGCGGGTATCGAGAGTTGGGGATGTGCGGGGTGAGTGGCACGCGAGCAGGTAAGAGCGAACAGTCTGATAATGATTGTTGTTGATAGTGATAATGATGGTGGTGGTGGTGATGATGATGATGATGATGATGATGATGATGATGATGATGAGGCTCTGGCGCGCATCCACCATCCCGACAAGAACCTCGCGAACAGGGACCAGGCAGAGGTCCATGGTCGCTCACAACCTTCCTTTGTGCCACAGGGGGCCCAGAATCAGGCAGCTGGAGTCTCCCGAGGCCAACTGAAGCAGCGCGACCAGGCTGATCTTTTGCGATGTCTCGTCTGCTTCTTCGGACTTTGGAGGGCCTGCTCGCTTGTTCTTGGCCCCCCCCTGAACCAGGGCACGCCGACTGGTCACCTAATTGCACCGACCCCGGCCAGGCCGATCACGTGCCAAATGTCGATGCCCATGCCTTGCTGGTATGGTCAGGGGGGCGTATATACTGGATGGTGGCTGGTGTTGAACGCTCCCACTCTTTGTGCAGAGGCGGCTGGGGACCGCCGAGGACCGCCGAAGACTGCCGAAGACCACCACAAACCGCCAGAAACCACCGAAGGCCGCCGAAGACCGCGGAAGGCCGGCGAAGGCTGACAGGGAAAGAGGTGACCCATGGTCGAACACATGAGGTCAGCGATCCGGGACCCAAGATGGGGTCAGCCAGGATCGGTGCGAGTAGGCCAGGTTTGGGGTTGCGCACGGACGATAGTCCAGGGCGGTCAAAACACTTCCGCGCTGCCTCTGGCGGCACCACTGGGGCACTCCGTGCCCCCCGGGTTGGGATGTCGAGACTGCCCCGGACTGGCCTTGCTGGGCTGCTGTCGGATTGTTTTTGTTCCAGCTCGCGGGCCCCCGAGGGCTCGGCCCGTGTTTTGCTGCGGTTTCTTCCTGCTTTGTGCGTGTGCTCGTGGTTAGCAGGGAACAGACACGGCCCTGGGAGGCCGCAGGACAAACTCTTGACGCTTCGCGTCACCCCACCAGCCCTGATCGAGGCAAGTGGGCAGCACACATAGGAAGGGTCCCTCTAGGAGCGTTCTTGGGTGCCTCGGGGAGCCTCTGGGGACCTCTTGGGGGTATCTTGGGAGCCTCATGGAGGCCTCTTGGGCGCCTCTTGGGGCCTCCTGGGCGCCTCCTGGGGCCCTCTTGAGGCGCTCTTGGGAGCCTTGGGAGCGCTCTTGAAGCCATCTTGGAAGAGCTCGAGCAAAGAAGGGGTGTTCCTTAATCAGCCTCCCCCCTTGGAAGCCCCGGAAATCGCCTCTTGGGCCCCTCTTTGGGCGCTCTCCGGCACTCTTGGGGTCGTCTTGGGGCTCTGTCGGGCCTCTCTTGGGGCCCTCTTGGGCTCTCTTGGAGCCATCTTGAGGCCTCGGAAGGCCATCGAAAGCGAAAAGGCGAGAAGGCAACTGTCATTGATTCTCCTTAGGCATTTGAAGGATTTGGGCCTCTTGGCGGCCTCCTGGGGAAGCTCCGTGGCCACTCGGAGCCGTCTTGAAGCGGTTCTGGGGCCTCTAGGAGAGTCTTGGGAGCCATATTGAGCCATCTTGGGATATCTTGAGCCAACTTGGAGGTAATCTTAGGCTCTCTGAGGCGCTCTTGGAGCCATCTTGGGCCCAAAAGTACCCCCTGACACCTCGCGCTCCCCCCTCCAGGTCCAGGGGAGGGGGTAGGGGGAGGGGCAAGCCCCTCCCCGAAGGGGAAGAAGGGGGTTGAAGAGCAAACCCTCTAGACCACCTACGCCCAGAGGGCTGGTGGGATTGCGGGGGGTGGGAAATCAATCTGCCAGACCTCCGCGCTGGGGGCCTGCTGAGTCCTGGCTGCCTTCGGGGGCCGTCAGTGCACAGCCCCTGGCTGTGCCGCCGCACCCCGTCCCCTGGAGGATCAAACGAGGGCCGAAGTCGCCCAACAGCCTCGGTCCTCGAACCTCCCGAGACGGCCCGCGGTCGGCGCAGGGCGTGCACTCGGCGCCTGGGGGCCCGAGCGGCGCCCGAGCGCCGCCCGCCCCCGAGGTGAGCTTCAAGCGGCTGGCCGAGGCCTACGCCGTCCTGCGCGACCCGGAGCCGCCCGGGGGATGGGGAGGGGGGCGGCGGCCGATCGCCTTGGGAGCGGCCCTCGGGAGGTTGGAGGTTGGAGCATCCAGGGCCGAGGTGTCTGGGAGTGGTCTGCGGAGGGGGGGTGGGGCCTGGGGGCGCTGTCGTCGCCATACGGCTCCGACCACCCCCCTGGGACCTCGATGGTCGAGGGCAACGCCTCGCGGCAGGATGATGATGATGAGGAGGAGGAGGAGGAGGAGGAGGAGGAGGAGGAGGAGGAGGAGTAGGAGGAGGAGGAGGAGGAGGAGGAGGAGGAGGAGGAGGAGGAGGAGGAGGAGGAGGAATAGGAGGAGGAGGAGGAGGAGGAGGAGGAGGAGGAGGAGGAGGAGGAGGAGGAGGAGGAGGAGGTGGAGGAGGAGGAGGAGGAGGAGGAGGAGGAGGAGGAGGAGGATTTCCCGTGGCTGCAGGATGGGTGAGGGCCTCGCGTCCAGCTGCACTTCCCCAGTTCAGTCCTCAACGGCCCCTCTAAGCGCAGGGGCGCCGACGGATTCCAGAAAGGCCAGGTCGTTCGTACGAGACGAGGTGACCACGTCTCCTGGCAGTCTCGTTAGGGGGCCACGTGCGAACCCTACCCCTACCCCCCCACGATTTCTGCGGGGGAGGGTGGGGTTCACATCGCTCGGGAGCTCCCGAACGAAGTGAACCCCACCCTCCCCCTCAGAAATCGTGGGGGGTCGGGGCAGGGCTCGCCTGTGGCCCCCCACGCGTGCCTTTAGGAGGGTGCCGACCATCAGGCAATCTGTTCCTACGGGCGTTTGCATTCTTTCCCTGGCCGCTCCGGCCCGCTCATCGCGGAATTCTTCCCCTTCTGAGCGCCCACCTCCGTCTGCCCCGCGCGGCCGCCCTCTCCGCCCTCTGATTCTCTTGTACGCCGGACAAGTTGCCCATCGGCGCCCCCACTAGCCCGACGCTGGTGCGGATGGCCTCCGCCTCGCCGCCGACGAGAAAAGTCTGCATTCTGATCCTTGGGGTCCTTTGGGCAGGCTGCCAACAGCACGCATGCGCAAGCACGGGTGAACGCACCACAGTTGCGACAGATCGCAGACTGGCCAGCACGCGTGAATTGGTGCAGCCTTGGCCCCTCTACAGGAGAGTGGTCGGCACGCGAAACCTTCCAACGCCCATGGGATATGAAACCCTGCCTACAAAACTTTCGAGAGAGCACAGACTTGGCCTTATCGCTATGCGCTCTCCTGGCACACTTGACACACCGTTATGACCCCTGATGCCATTCCATCGTGTGCCAACTCTCAGGGGGAGCGAGGGGGGCACGACGCTGATGGAGGCCAGAAGTCTGGGCGGCATGCTTTGGGCGACCAGTGGTGCCGTCAAAGGTGCCTACACTAGCAGTCATGGCCCCGACTTGGTCCAACATCGCGGTAACTCAGTTAGAGCGCGCCTCTAAGTGGCAATGATGTGCGGAGCGGCTTCCTTTAGACGCCCCCCTGCTTCGCTTGCAAAGCAGTAGCCTGGTTGTCCGACAAATCCAGGCACTCGATTCCATCGAGCGGCTCGGCATCAGACTTCTTGGAACGCGCTCCACATTTCACCGCCACCAGGCTCCCCTCCCCCGAGTACGAATCTTGGGTCGCATTCCATATCGAATGCTAGAGGTCGGCATGCTGTCGGCGTGCCTGGCACCACCTGGCGTGCCCGCGCCCGATCCCAGACCCATCCGGAGACGCGAGCGCGGCGGGGGTCATCACCCAAATCGGATTCGAGGGCTTCGGCCGCGGGGGAAAGACGCTTGAAGGGATGGGACCGCCGAGCGGGTGTGGGGCGAGCGCTGGGGCACAAGCGGGAGGAAGAGCCAGGAGGAGGAGGAAGAGCCAGGAGGAGGAGGAAGAGCCAGGAGGAGGAGGAGGAGGAGGAGGAGGAGGAGGAGGAAGACCCAGGAGGAGGAGGAGGAGGAGGAGGAGGAGGAGGAGGAGGAGGAGGGAGGAGGAGGAGGAGGAGGGAGGAGGAGGAGGGAGGTGGAGGAGGAGGAGGGAGGAGGAGGAGGGAGGTGGCAGCACGAGGAGCGGTCTCTGGGAACTCGTCTCCTGCGGCCCTGCGCCGCTCCTCGAGAGCTGGACACTCACGAGGCCTGCGTGCCTGCTCCCTTTACGGCGTGCCCGCACCGCTGGCAACCACCTTTTTTTGAGCGGCCAGCTATCACAGCCTTGTTCCGAAATCTAAAACAATAGAAATCATTCATAACAAACAACCTTGTCACGAAACCAAAATCTCCGCCCCCAAAACCATCATGGCCGCATGCCGTGGTCCCCGACCGTGTTTCTTAGTTCTGAGCGCGGCGCGGCATGATTGGAGGACCGGCTTGCCAGAGGGCATCCCTCGCTGGACCGCCCAATCCGTGAGGTCTTGATCCTCTAACCCGAGAGGCATCTACTTGTGCATGGTACTTGGCGCGTCTCGGCACATGTCAACTCAGTCACTCGTGTGCGCTCGAATGGTGTGCCAGCCAGGCCAAGTCCAGCCTAGTCGTTCCAGCGTTGATTGCGTGCTGAGGCCCGCCCTCAAGACTCCAAGGACGGTCCTTTCCGATCCTTTGCCTGGCGGCCTCTCGGCCCAACTCCCGACGCCAGGCTCGAACCATGTCGTCGGAGTGAGCTCCCTTCAGGCGTGCGAGGCCTACATGAATATGGGCTTCTGGGTAGCTTCCAAAGCTGGGTCGCACTGGTATGCCCAGAGCCTCAAAAACCCGATCCCGACCAACAGCGTTGCTACCAAGACTCCCCGAGACCATGACCCTCATACGTCCCAGGGCCACAGGGGAAACTCCTTAGCAACTGGAGCCGTGCGTGACTGGTGGGATGAACCCTTGCCTAACCACTCTGGCCAGACGGGTGCCTTGCTTAGACAGAGCCTTTCATTGTGCCTTCGCTTCTTGGCCTGGGCAAGCCGCTTTTGCATCTCAGCTTGCTTGCGTTCAGCGCTGTCCACCCCCAGTTGGGAGGTGGCGGTGCTGATAGCCAGGCCCAGGTCCTTGGCCCAACCAGCGCAGCATTTCCGAGCATAATCCTG